GGTCAGTAAATATAAAGACTAGCATGCTGGTAGAGTACAGTTTGTAATAGCATTTTAGGGGATGTCTACGTAGTGTTAAAAAAAAAAGTCTCTTGACTTAGGTTGTTTGGATTAAAATAGCAGTGAAGACCTGGCAACTCAGGTTAATAGCTCAAGTCCAGCTCCAGACTCTCTGTAGACTTTAACTTGAGCCCATAACACAATGTAAAAGCAGAGTTGCTATGTCTTGACTGCTATTTTAACCCGGGGCATGACAAGTAACCCAAATTAAGAACACACCTTTTCTGCAGTGTAGACATGCTCTTAGAGGACACCGAATTCCCACTGCTTATGAAAAGAAATGGTAAATAACTTGGTTTAGCAAAATAGACTTCAAGATAGACTGGCCAGTTCAAACCACTTGTAAGTTGCACGTGACCAAGTTGCAAGTTTCCTGGACTGTTATTAATGTGGTGTTTAAATATTGCTCTCTACCATATGTTCCCTAGCTAGTCTCTAAAGTAACATAGGACTCCTCATTATTTTAGCATCTTCCAAGTCTTTTGGGACTTGTTAATGCTTGGAATTAACCTAATTCTCAGTGTTGGTACCACTGCATCAGCATTAAGTTCTATTGTAGACAAGGAAGGCCGCGGTCTCCCCCAGTTTCAAGCAGATTAAAACTGCACCAATGCAAATTGTGATTTTTCTCTGTCTACACAAGGAGAAATGTAGCGAAGGCTTCAGTCTTTGCAGGGGCAGTGAAAATTACTCCTGAATGTTGAGATCCATGATGAAACATTATATACTCCCAACTGAGTCACTGCTAGGCCAGATTGCCTCTCTTACTACTTAGGGTGGTTTGGGGTTGTGAAACTACTTGACTCTTATTTTTTGTCATTGTTGAGTGTGAATCACCTATAGGATAGGCCTGGATGCACAGGAAAGCACTGATATACAAAATCTTATTTTATGATCCCAATTATTTTAGTTCATCTTCACAGTGCATTGCAGGCATTAACTGTGTTCGCGCCATGTGCACCGGTGAGATAGGAAACAGGAAGCATTGCCATTTTACAGATAATGAAGGTGAGGCAGATCTCTAAGGCTATGTCTACACTCACGGCTTCTTGCGCAAGAACATCTTGCTCAAGGGTTCTTGTGCAAGAAGACTTCCACACTGCCATGTGTGAGCTGTGCTTTTGCGCAAGAGCGCCCATGGCAGTGTGGACACTCTTTTGCGCAAGAAAGCTCTGATGGCCATTTTAGCCCTAGGGCTTTCTTGCGCAAGAAATCCCTGCCGAGCGTCCACACTGCCCTCTTGCGCAAGAGGGCTTACACCTGTTATAAAAGAGCGTAGCTCTTGCGCAAGAAGCCCCCTCTTACCACGCTGTACTGTAAATTTCCTTGCGTAAGAGCGGGCGGGCAGTGTGGACGCTCTGCGGATTCTTGCGCAAGAACGTCCATACTTGCGTAAGAAGCCGCAAGTGTAGACATAGCCTAAGTGATTTGCCTGAGGCTCTTAGGCGGCTGAAGAAATTGAGAGTTCCTGCCTCCAGTCCAGTGCTGAAGCTACACAGCAGAGTTTCTCAAGGAGACTTGTATCTTCATTAGCACAAGATCACCCTAGAGAAGATTTCTAATATTGGGAGATGATGCCATTAAAGGACAACTACAGTAAACTTCCGATAATCCGGCACCTTTAGGACCCAGGGGGTGCCGGATTATCAGATATGCCGGACTATCAGAAGGAGGGGCTATGAGGGGTCTGGAGTGGGGTGGGAGGGGATGCCACCCCAGACCCCTCATAGCCCCCCCTCCCTATAGTCTGGCATATTTGAAATTTGACGCTGAGTTGACGTGCAAAATTTCAAAATAGATTTGAGATAAGATATGCAATTTGAGCTACGCAAATTGTGTATCTTATTTTGAGTTTAGGGTGCTGTGTGGATGCACCCTAAGGCACCACAAGACCACTCATTAGAAAAGGGAAACACTAATGCAGATGGTCTTAAGTGTTTGCATAAGGAGTTACTATGATTGTTTAATTTCTGAGACAATACACATTGTATTTGGAAACAAAGATTTGTTGGTTAGAGAGATTATACAATAAAGTCTCCAGTCTAAGAATGCAGGCAAGATACTAGTGACTATAATAGTAAATTCATGCACTTTTAATTCACCCTGTGCATTTGCAAGTGCTTGCTTACAATATGAAAAGGAAAGCTCTAACTTAGTGTAGTGGTCCATATATATTATATATAAATCAAAATAAAGCATGTGCATATGTGTATATATATTTTATATAAATGTACCTATATCTTTCTGAAGATTTCTTCTAACATCCTTGAATCTACAACCTAAAATAAAACATGAAAAGTGGGTTGTATGAAATAAAAACATTTGATTAAAAAATCCAGGAAAATTCACTTTTGCAAATAGAGTAGTTGGGTAAAGGTATGCAGGCAGAATCATCATGTTTAATATAGCAACAGGGAAGCTTTTCTAAACTTGAAACTAAAATTAAGCTTTTAATAGGACTGTCAAGCAATTAAAAATTAATCACACTAACAGAATTGCCTGTTCATGCTGCTCTTGGCCCTACAGAAGCTACAGCTTTTTCATTTTATGTTTTGTATGCAGTGGGATCTTTCCATGCATGGTACAACCTTGATTCATCATGCCTCAATCCCCAGCATCTGTTAACTTCACTGAAAACTTCCTTGGTTTTCCAAGACATCCACTTATTCAGTCTCCCATGAAACTGTGGTAGCGTTGGTCTGAACTTGGAGAAGAGGTGCTTGGGCTGGGGGGCATGACACGCATACACAGGGCGGGGGGGGCGGGCAGGCGGGCAGGTAGAATTGCCAGGTCTCTGGGCAAGGAGGGGAGCCGTGGCTCTGTGCTTCCTGAAGAGGAAGGGCTTGCGACAGCCAGCCCTTCAGCTCTGCCTCGTCTGTGCTTCCCAGAGTGGTGGTGATTTAAAAAGCCCAGTGCTCCAGCCACTGTCGCAGAGACAGCTGGGAGTCCCAGGCCTTTTTGAATTGCTGGGGTAACAGTCTCCTCTACCTCCTGTCAGTGGGCCTGAGCACCCCAGATTACTCCAGAGCTGAGAAAATGACAAAAATAAAAAACACGTGGCTTCTGTCATCTTCAGTGTCAGTGACGCTGCTCAGAGGACAAGCTGTTCCTTTCCACTATAACCAAATGCTTATCACTCTAGGGGATGTTGGAAACTACTATTATGGCCAGGGTCATCCAATGAAACCCCATAGGATCCGAATGACCCACAACCTCCTGCAAATGGAGATATATGTAAGTATAGGACCCGGCATAGCGAGAAGTAGGAAGTTTGTATGGAAGCGCTTGATCTGTCTCCCTGAATGTCACTGTATTGCAATGGTAAAGGGTCGTTCTGCAGACCCTTGTGAGTTTTATTGGGGACTTATGGAGAAGCAATATGGAGGAAAAACAGCTGGGAAATATTTTCAGAGAACAGTTGAGGGCAGGGTGAAGGTAATTCAAAGAAACTGATGTTGCTTTTAAGATTTCCACTG